TTTCCTCCCGAGGTCACCATGATTGATCCAATCAACATCAAGGATGCCGACGAGCCGGTGGTTCAAGACTTGGTCAAGATGCTTAACGACATCATCACTGCTGTCAATGCCGACAATGCGAATCAAAAGTACTCCAGCACTATTGGCAAGGCCAAGGGAGACTTGACAAAGGTCGGTTCTAAGATCAAAGCTTTGAAAGCAGCGATCCTAAAGGAGGCCGATGCCAAGATCAAGGCTGAGAAGGAGGATTTTGACCGTGCTGCCAAAGAGCTCATCCGCCGTGTAGAAGCCGAGATGCAACATCAGCAATCAGAGTGGCAAGAAGAGTATCAAACGGAGCGCCAGAAGATTGTCCAGAACTATGAGCAGAAGCTCAAGGCTGAGATCGAGAAGGCAAACGAGGTCAACGAACAACGATTGCGAAACGGTCTGTTGGAGCAAGCGATTGAGATGAAGAAGAAGTTCATCCAAGACGTAAAGGATAAGGTCGAGGAAGAACGCAACTCTCGTCTTGGCAAGCTTTCTGATCTGTCGAACACGGTTAACGAGCTTGAGAAGCTCACTACAGATTGGAACTCAGTCGTCGATGCTAACCTGAAGACTCAACACCTTCACGTAGCTGTCGAGGCTGTCCGCGCCAATCTGGAGAAGATCGAAGTCCCTCGACCATTCGTCCGTGAACTTGCAGCTTTGAAGGAAATCGCTTCAGATGATCCAGTTGTCAATGCAGCAATTGCTTCCATCAACCCAACTGCTTATCAACGAGGCATTCCTTCATCAGCACAACTCATTGATCGATTCCGCCGTGTTGCCACCGAAGTCCGAAAGGCTTCGTTGCTGCCTGAAGAAGCCGGTGTTGCGAGCCACGCATCAAGTTACTTACTCAGCAAATTGCTCTTCAAGAAGAAGGGTTTGGCTACTGGCGATGATGTGGAAAGTATCTTGACCAGAACAGAGACTTTCCTCGAGGAGGGTGATCTGGATAATGCGGCCAGAGAAATGAATGGATTGCAAGGATGGGCTAAGACATTGAGTAGGGATTGGTTGGGTGAGGTTAGGAAGGTGCTTGAGGTGCAACAGGCTTTAGATGTAAGTTTCCATATCAACTATCTTGTGCGAGTAAAAATGCTAACATGTGAATAGGTAATTGCCACGGAGGCTAGGTTGCAAAGCTTGAGAGTCGAATAGAAACACTTTCTTTTGTCCATGCATGAGAGGAGGAGAGACAGCCATAGGCGGTCTAGATGGCTGCTGTGAGCTTGTATGGAATACAAAATAGATATGTACTTTATTATTGCATATTTGACTGACTGACTGACTTTGTGGTCCTAATATTATCTTTCTTTCTTTCTTTCTTTCTTTAGGACTTTTGGGTGGACCTGCCTCAAATTGGCGAGTGCCAATGTTGGATTGCGAGTCACATCCCCCTCAGATGTTTGACTGGATTCATTTCGCTCTCTACAAGAATAACGCAACAACATCGACACGGCCACAGCTCCCCCCATCGTCCACCACCCCATCCCCTCCTCCCCGCCGCCCAGAGTCCGAAGTCGCTCTCGCCGTCGCACTCGTCGTTCCAGTCGCCGTCCTATTTTCCCCACACCAGTAGCTACCGTCACACTTGCTGTCAACGTCGCCCCCCGCCCCGTTGAACTAGTCGTCACCGCAACAGACACCCCAGTCGACAACTCATCTACTAAACTACTAACCAGCATACCAACAACCGCAGGCTTCGGGACACGCCCCATCAAAAAAACCATCCTGACCCGGAGGACAGCAGAAGAAACCTGCTGTCCCACTACTGCTGGTGGAGGCTGTGTTCCAGAGGGATCAAGTGGTGTCTGCGCATGTGGGTGTGGTGAGGAGGGTTGGGGTGCAGGACGTTGCTGTGGTGGATGTTAGTACTCGAGGTTGGGGAAGGAAAGTGAAGGGATAGGGGAGGGGAAAGGTATAGGAGGGGCAGCAAGCATAAGCGAAATTGGTGCCGGTGTTCACGCAGGTTAGTGAGCTGGGACAGTAGAAGCTAACACTACATAATGTTGCGTTTGTGGGACAGGATCGGGCGGCTGGGATTGAGAGGGACCAACCGCCGAAAGGTTGAATGGTTCTGGAGTTATGATTTCGGGGCATGAGCTGGGCGAATTCGAGGCACGCTATGAACGAGGCGAGGAGGAGGGTTCTGGGGAGAAGGGATGAATGCATGTTGGCAAGATATTGAATCGAGGAATCAACAAGAGGATTTAAGAGGCAAAACAGATAGTACAATATCTATTGGGGTGGAGCGACCTTCATATGTTAAGGTCCTTCTTGGTACTGAAGATCTACACTTCTAGCCCTTCAGCTATGATCCCGAAGATGACATTAGTATCTTCAGATCTGCCTTTTGTTGGCATGGGATACCGATCACAGGTATGTATCTTTCTCTTCACGAACGTATCTCGAAAAGGCTGACATCTCGAGGGTACACCAGTGCCTGTAGTAATTCGTGACCCACACAAACTAAAACTAATTAAAACCTTTTATACTATTAATAGTAAAACTTAAATCTTTTTATATTAAGATTCATTGTATATATCTAAAAGCTTTATATAAAAACTTTATAATTACGTAAGCTAAGTTTTATTATAATAAATATATAAAAAATATATTTTAAGATTTCAAATAATTATATAAAATATACTATAAATAGAACTATTAAATCTTTTAATCCAAATGCTTCTAAATACTTCTAAGATTTTGTTATTAAAAATAACGGCGTTAATATTAATTTTATATTAGAACTTGTAATATTTTTTATTTTTACTAATAAAAAAATTTAAAATTAATAAGCAAGAATAAATAAAATTATAAATATTAATGGAAAGTTGATATTACTATTATCTTTTTAATACCTTATTTCTAGAGTTATTTCGGAGTATTCAAGTTAGAAAACTAAGTAATTCTATTTATAGTATATTTTATATAATTCTTTAATATTTTGAAAATTATTTTTTATATATTTATTTAAATAAGAATTAGTTTATATAAAAAAGATTTTTCTATATAAAAGTCTTTTATTGATATAATATACTCTTGTTATTAAGTTTAAAATATTTTGATAAATAGTATAAAAAATTTTAATTAGTTCTAGTTTGTGTGGGTCACGAATTACTGCAGGCACTGGTGGTACCAAAATTCTTGGGTGGCTTTGGGCTGAGAGCAAGCCACAAGCCACAAGACTTCAGATCTGCAAGCGAGCAGTCATGAAGATTGATTGCCGGTTCCGAGCTCTGAAAATATATAGAGGAAGAAGTTTAGGAGCGGGAGACACACATTCAGGGGCGGGAAGATTTGTTCCGGTGGCTGAATGATGACAGCACGTGATCATGAAGATCGTCTTGTCGATCCACGACCTGTATCTCTTCAGCAGTTTCTTTCGACTCGACTTTCTCAAAAAGTACGAAAACAGAAGTTCACTCGAAGTTGAACGGCATTGTAGTGCTAGGTTCTTCAATATGAAAATCCTCATATCCACCATGCCTGCCACCGGACACATCAACATCTTCCAACCAGCCGCCCACGAACTCGTCAAACACTCCCACACAGTCTACTGGCTCACCGGCCCAGCCTACGAGTCCTCCGTAATCGCTACAGGAGCGACATTCATCCCCTTCTCGCCAGCCTGCATGGGTGCTTTTCTTCCCGCTCTCTCTACAGACCAGACTCGTCATGGCACTGGTCTTTCAGCCGCAATCGCTACACTCATCGAAATCTTCGTCTCTCCTGTCCCGCATGTTATTGACCAATATCAAGAGATTTTGAAAGATTTCAAAGCGGATATCTTGCTTGTGGATTTATGTTCTCTTCCGGCGCTGGTGTTAAGGGAACTGGGCGGTCCGCGATATGCTACGTTGAGCGTGAACCCGTTCGTTACTCTGGTGCCTGAAATTCCGCCCTGGGGATCAAGCCACTTCCCCGCTACGACATGGTTAGGGAAGATGTTAAATTGGATTCAGCACTTGATAGCGAATTGGTTGGTGTTAAGCAAAGTGAACGATGCACTGAACATCGAACGAGCTAAATTGGGATTGTCCGAGCCATTGAGGGGTATCGATGCGTATCCGAAATGCAGTATCTCAAGAGATTTGCATATGGTACCTACAACTATGGCATTCGAGTTCCCGAGGAAAGGGGTGGGAGAGCATGTCAAGTTCGTGGGACCATTGATGCCACTGATGGGAGAAGGATGGAAGAGGCCGAAGTGGTGGAGAGAAGTTGTCAATGCTGAAGAGGAGGGCTTGAATATTGTACATGTGACGCAGGGAACATTTGCTACGGCTTCCCAAAACTTGATCAAGCCGACGATCGAAGCACTCGCAGGGGAGGACGACGTGCTTTTGGTGGTCACGACACCAGATGCGGAGAAGTTGAACGAACAGATGAAGATCCCACAGAATGTGAGAATCGAGAAATGGTTGCCGCATCAGGAGTTGTTGAAGAATGTCAAAGTAATGATTACGAACGGAGGGTATGGAGGGGTATTGACGGCCCTTTCATTCGGAGTCCCTTTGGTAGGAGCTGGCTTGACTGAGGATAAAGCTATGGTGAACTCTAGGATCGCATGGAGCGGAGCAGGGATAGACTTGAAGACAAACACACCCGGGTCCAGAAAGATCAGAGAAGCTGTAAGGAAAGTGCTGGATAATCCGAAGTACAAGCGAGTGGCGATGAGAATACAGGAAGATTTTGCGAAACACAACGGTGCAGAGACTGTCTGCGAGTCTCTCGAGCACTGTGCCAATAATCAGTAGAGAAGGAGAGGCTGCTCTCACGCAAGAAATTCTGACTTGGAATGTCTGTGACTCACACTTTTCTTTACGTTGTGGTCCCAATGCGGCAAGGGCACACCATGACTCAAACATCAGACGAGCCAACCTTTATAGATTTGATTAACAGAATAACGGTCAGCATGGTAAGAAACACCTCTCTCATACATTCTAATTTACAAATAACTAACAATGAACAGATAGTACAGTGGAAGTACGTTGGGCTCATATCCCAAAGGTCCCAGGATCAAGACCTGGTCGTGCTACAATACCTTTTTTTTTGAAATTTTTTTTGACTGTGCAATCTAGCTCTTTGAGATATACCATTATAAGATTCCAAGCACTGAACGTTTTTCTTTCTTTTAGATTTTTATTAAGAATGTCGTGAGCTTCTGAAGCTCACGTCTTGCTCTGTTAAGCGAGGTGGGTCACTTGACCCCCTATTTTCATTCGGACTGAACCGGCTTTAGCTTACCAGATACAGAACTTTCCCACACCAAGAACACAATTTCAATCTAAACTTCACAAACTGAAATACTTATAGGTGTGCCCCTCTTGACTTCTGATCGTTCCTGAGCATCTCCACGACACTCCAATTCCCGAGTCTCGCCCAAAGTCCACCCACTTGAAATCCCGACACACGCCTCGAAAATCAACAAAGCACTCACTCTAGTATATTCTTGAGAAAAATACACTGCAACGATGACTCGCTTTGATTTCATCGACCACTACGCGATCCTTCGGGTCCAAAGACAAGCCCCTGCCTCCAATGTCAAGACGGCGTACAGGAAGCTCGCACTGGCTCACTGCCCAGACAAGAACAGCGACGATCCCAGCGCCACTTCAGACTTCCAAAAGATCGGAGCAGCAAACGGGATCCTGTCCGACGAGGCGAAGCGAGAGCAATACAACATCGAATGGGACAGTCACCACTCCCAACGCGCTACATCCACCTCCACCAAGACCACAAAAGGCTCAAAGGCAAATCCAAAGTAAAAAAAACTACGAACATTCCACTGAGAACCACATCCTATCCAAATTCGCATCCTGGGACGGGCTCAAAGAAACCCGCGACCACCGACAGTGTATCTGGGCCGGGTACTACGGAAAATTCCAATGGAAACTTGTCCGCGGGCAAAAAGAATTCGTCCAAATCTGGCACGGCGGAAAGATTGATCTGAATTCCAGATCACCATATTGATCAACCTGATCTCTGGCCCGAAATCGCCGAATTTGGAGAGGAGATACCACGAAAATTCAACAGGAACGATCTTAGGAGAGAAGGGTCCATGAGGGAAAAGCCCAGGAGATAAGAGATCGACAAGGAAAGAGAAGAGGCCAGGCTGGAAAATGTCGAGATTGAGAGCGTGCAGTATACGTGCAGGGATGGAAATAGCAAAATCGTTGCGCTGAAAGTGAAACCTACTCCTGGACAAGTGGGACTGTACGCTCCGATGATGAAATTTCCGGAGAGCAGTCTCTATGAGCCTGTTTGGTGGTACAAGAAGGGACCGAAAGTCAAGATCGGGAATCGGTTGCTGGAACCTGAGGAAAAGAGGGAGAACTCGAGGTTCGATGATAAAGATGCTAGAGATGTGACGAAAGAGTATATGATGAATCGAGGTATCGAAGAAGATTCTGGGGATGAGATAGACCTTTTGCAACCCATTGTTCAGGGTCGCCATTCGGCTAGAAAATGTCGGGTCGAGACCACGGTGGGCAGAAAGGAAGCGAAACAACGCACGAGGGCGAAGCTCGTTGCCAGGAAATTGAAGGAGAGGATGGAAAATTGGGAATGAGATGTCTTCATGCAGAATGAAAATGCGAAATGATAGATTGCGAAAGACAGGAGCGGAATAATGCGAGGCTCAAGAAGTCATGAAAGGCAATGAAGAACTCAAGAAAAAAAATCAAATCAGTGGTCTAGAAATGAATATACTTGACCATCAATAAATTTCTCTCGCTCTTCCAGTTGCTTCGGTGACAGCACTTCTAACTACACGTCCCAAAAGCAATTTGACATCCTGTCCCACAGAAAGCGAGCGTGTTACCACAATACCCATACAACGAACAACAGTACCCAACGCCACAAGACACACCATACGGTGCTCCACAAGCCCCAGCAGGCACGACGATAGTCGGCGAGGGACTCTTGACAGGAACAACTGTTTTCGAGGGCGAAGGAGATGGTATGGGTGTTGGAGAAGGACTGCTTGCGACTGAACAGATGCCGAAGGATTTCTGGCATCTGGCGCCGCAGTAAGGCGATGTGTTGCCGCAGTAGCCGGAGGAGGAGCAGCATTGCCCTGCGCCGCACAAAATCCCGTATGGGACCCCGCATGCGCCGAGAGGGGTGGTGAGGGTTGGAGATGCGGATACGGTGAGTGTTGTTTTCGTAGTGCTTGGGAGTTTGACGGAGCTTGCTGGGACGGATTTGGTGGTTGTGAAAAGTGTTGTGGTGCTCGACTTGATAGTACTAGAGATCTTAATCGAGCTGACGGATGCAGGTTTGGTAGTCGAAGTCGCGCTTGTTTGTTTTGCGGAAGAAAGGACGGGGGTGATGGTGCTTGTTTTCGCACTGCTGGAGGAAGATTTGACTATGCTGCTTGACACAGTATTGGCAGATGCGACAAGGGTCGATAAGGCAGTACTTGTTTGGGTTGGTGGGACTGTGCCGCACATAACATACTGATTCGAGACATAGACATTCAATATGTTCTTGACTATCGAGTAATAAGCTCCAGATAGATGCGCATCAGCTAAAGTTGCCTCCCAAATCATGATACCTCCAAAATTGGGCCTACAAAAATATGCTTTAGCTAGATTTGCAATTTCGGTCGGACTGAGATAGTTGGTGTCTGTCGCAGGACCTCCTGGAACGCTGATCTACAGCTTTGCGTTCGCACTTGCTGTTCCGATCAGGAAGTTGGACCAGGCGTTGTAACTGAAACCGCTTGGAACCTCGAATCCAGTGGTTGCGTAGTTGGTATTGGTGTTTGCCCAGTTGCGTGCCGAGCATTGAGGGGTGTTGTAGTACTGGACCCAAATGATATCAAACTGGGCTTTTTGAATCATCACTCCCATGTTTGCATCCGGTACGACGCATTGTGGTGCTCCAGTAATGAGATATTGCTTGCCAGCACTTTGAAAGAGCACACGCAATCTCTGGATCATGGCAACATAGCCTGCGGAACTATCTGAACTTATGTCAGCACCTGGGATAGGGCGAGTCATACAGGAAAACTTACCGGTAGGTGCGTATTCTATGTCGAAGTCAAAACCATCAACTTCGACAGCCAGACCAGGACTGTCAAAAGGTCGTGGAAGACCGGCTGCTACCCAAGCTGCATTCTGAGGGCCGAACGCACCCCATAACCAATCTGCAAAAGTCACCCCTTGGGTAGCACCGATAAGCTGGTATGTATTTGTAGCGCCTCCCAACGATAAAATAATCTTCTTTCCGTAAGTAGATTGGCACACTGGGACATCCGCAACAAGCTGCGGACACTCCGATTGCAGTTGGTTCAAAAGGGGATTACCGCCTGGACCTTTGAAAACGTAGGAACCTCCCCAGCACTGGTTACCAAAATTATCCCCTGGAAACCCGTTGCCTTGAGCGGGGAACACATTGATAAATGCTAGTGGTATAATGTCCACAGTCGTTTGGCTACAGAAATGTGCAAGTCCTTGCTGTCTTGCTCCTTGGCCCTGTAGAGACATCAGTAATGGATGAGAGCTTCGGTGGAATAATCACGTACCCAATATAGAGCAACATTAGATTTTGATGTAGGGTTATACGACGAGGGAACAGATGAATGAGAATGTGCATGTGAATGGGCACGAGCATCGACGTGGGCATGGGCATGGGCATGTGAAGACGCATCGGAAGAGCAAATGAATAAGAATACAGAAGCGACAGTGTATAGAAACGAAACGAGCGACATTTTCGATTAGGATTAGAGTAATACAACATGCAAAAGGAGTGGACGGCCTGAAAGACCACGATATGAACAACGCGTCAACAAGAACATCGGGAAACGCGAATGCTTGATATAAGGGAATGTCTCGATAAGATGGCTAGAAGCGCCAATGTCTCAGATGCCTTTTGTGGTGTCTGGACATTGGGATTCACTGCACTAGCTAAGCAACCTTAAAATTTCAGTTGGGTCTGAATCTGGGCCTTTCAAAAGCCGCATTCCAAAGACATCTAGAGCTCTTCAGAAGGTTGAACTGCTCACAATTATCGTCGCGAATTGCATTCTTGGATCCAGCAGCACTCGACATCGCTGGCATCGACTTATTACTCCTGTGCTTCGGAAAAAGCTTCAACAATCCTCATGAGGGAGTATATACCCCATTCCTATGGCTCAAAGGTAAATCCGTGCCAGAGTCACTCTCGAGCTGAGAGATATCGAGTGCTTGGAGGTAGAATTCTCGCGACAGGCCAACTGCCTCAGAACGGCCGAGATTGCAAACGAAATTCACATGGGCTGGAGAAGCATTGGCCCGACCTTATCATTATGCGTCGTTGAGGCGCCTGCGATTGTTGGTCGAATTAGATTTGTGTCGTCTCTGGAATCTCCTGAATCTTTCTGGACATCGCGAAGGTGTTGTTAACTCCGACAAGCTTCTTGTGCCACTCAGCCTCGTGCACGGACCATCGACAGCCTCGTCATCCTCGTGTCATGTTTCGTCCGAACAGCTGAGCTTCGAATCTCAACCCCGCGTTCATCCCACTTTGTTGATCAAAGAACCCAAGAATTCCTCAGCCACTACCAACACAATGACGACAAGAGTTGCTAGCCATGCTGGCTCATGGTATACCTCGAATGGTGATAAACTTCAGTACCAACTCGAGGAATATCTAAAGAGTGTTGACATCGAGGAAACTCCTGTCCCAGGCGCAAGAGTAATCATTGCGCCGTGAGTGAGCTTCTCAAATCTCACTTCTGGCCTGTGCTGACGATCTCAAGACACGCAGGCTACTCATACTCCGGTGAAACTGCTGCATGGGCGTATAAGACCCTCGACCTCTCGAACTGCAAGCGAGTCTTCCTTCTCGGCCCATCTCACGCATATTACCTTTCCGGCTGCGCGTTGTCGAAGCATGGGAAATATGCCACTCCACTCGGAGACCTCGTCATCAATAAAGAGACGGTTGCAGAGTTGCAGAAGACTGGAAAGTTTGACACCATGAGCGAAGAGAACGACGAGGCGGAGCACAGTCTCGAGATGCATCTGCCATATATCTACACAATGATTTCGC